GGAATATACAGCATAGCTTTTCCTAAATCTCAAGCCCTTCCAAGGCTTCAGTTCTGATCCTGCTGCCAACAACTGCATCCTTCTCTTGAGAATGTCCACTGTCAGAAAGGGGCAGGTGCTATAATTTGATGGAAGGGTAGAAGTGCTGCTGCCATCACCAACAATATAGCACATAAGCAGAACTGCCTTTCCACTTGAATGGATTCAGACCCTTATCTCCACCTCCTAGATCAGTGTCTTAGTTATTAAGATGGTTTGGCGGGGGTCGGGGGTGGGAGCAAAATGTCCATGGAATAATGAAGAACCTCTCTGGGTAGTTATCCATTAGAGTGCCTCTAAAAAAAGAGATTTGAACTCAGGATTCTTCCACTCCAGGGACACTGTATCACTGGACAGGCCACCTCTTGCCCATAAACCTTAAAATGTTTTGTGTATTGAAAGACAGGATTTCAGATAGGCAGAATAGAGAGGTCCTTACCCCCATTACCTACAGAGAGTATCCTAGCCATTAAGCTAGGAGATAGGTTCAAATACAACTTCTGTCCCCTCAGACTGAAGAATTCCACATATACACAGAGCCAGTCTCTAAACTCTGAGCCAAACAACCACTATCTGCATTTTAAAAACAAGGAGTGGATCCTATCCTGCTCTGCAAAGAATCTGAGCTATCACATAGCTCTGAGATGATCTTTGCTGTAGAGATATGCTGATGGAAGGCAGCACAGAACACCCTTCTGGTTCCCAAGTGGCCTTAGACATCACAAAGGCAACAAGTCGCTCAGTCCTGACCAGACTGATGCACTTTTGACTTAGACACATGAAGCAGTAGTACTATCAAAAACTGAGATGCCCACCAGGCTAAAGCACCAGATGAATTTTTGTTTTCAGGATTGCAGCTTTGAATGCCACTATCTAAATTCCCCTTTAGCCTTTCCTTTTGTTTACATCTGGCTCTTCATGTCTATCATGCTGTAATTTTTCCTAAACAAAGAGGTTTTGTTCCAGTCAAGATTAAGAGTAACAGTCTGATGTATTTTGAAGAATCAGATTATGGGTTTCATGATTAATGCTGACTTTTGCTTACTCCTGTACAGAGAGATTTTAAGACATTACTAAGTATTCACACTTTAAGACAAACAAGGATTCCTCCATTTCTCTATTACCTCTCTGTTTTGTGGATTGTAATCAGTTAATCTAGTTTCTCTCTACAATTGATTAACATCAGTCAGTAGCAGGCAGCTTATAGCAGTGACAGTCTAAATTTTATTTTTTGGAGGAGCTATCTATCCTCTCATCCAAGTCTCCCAGTTTCTTAACAAAGCCAGCTGTTTTAATCTTTTTAACCCTTAGCCCTACTGCCTTGTTTCATAAGTGAAAGCAGAAATCAATTGTTAATAATTGCAGATAGAAATCACATCCTAGCAAATGACAGGGAACAGAATTACTGCTTCTTATGCGTAGAGAGATGTACAAGCCTGTTTTCTTAGCCCAAAGAGCAGCACTAACGGCTTTTGAATGACCTTGTGTACTTCACATCTACATGGGTGGGTATGAATAGCTTTCAATAGGCTTATTTTAGAAGTCAAACAATAAAGCAAGATTTTTTGCTTTATACTGTTACTTTTGCAACTGTTGATAACATCTTTATTGCTTCATACTGAAGTTTTTCATCTTATTCCTCTTAAACATTCACAATTTCAAATTATTATTTTTAATTGCAATCAGGATCATAAGTCAGGAGCAATCTGTAAGCCGCATTTACTGTAGTTCCTTAAACATATCATTGAATTGGAAAAGCAAGACAGAGATCTGAACTTAGCACAGAAACACTGATGGGAAGGTGTTATTATTCTAGTATCAGATTTCAGAACTAAAATCTAAATCCCATGAGGTCATTGTAAAAATTGAGTATCAGGAATTGAGCTTTTCTAAGAAAAAACAGAAGAGTCCTCCAAGCAAAAAAACCTAGTGAAGTCTTTGGTAAAGCTTCTCAACAGTACTGAGCAAAACTACTTCATCACACCTAAGAAGCACTTCCACAGTTCCCCATACCTTGCTATCCTAGGCAACAAGTCTGCTTGAGTGTACACCAAGACAGCGGCAGAACTAGCCCAGGTCCAGACTTATGGGTTCAAACATCATTTTCTGAACCAATCTAGTCCTGCCAGGCTCCTGATTGTAGTTACAAACAAGCTTGAAGAAACTCTTCAAACTCTACACAATCCATGAAAAACAACAAAATCAGAACAGCTGTATACAAGTTATCTGACAAACTACCTCCATCCAGTTAACATCCTACTTAAGCCAGCAGCATTACAACTTCCCTAGATATTCTGCAGAGAAGCATTAGTCAGCTTTAAACTGAGACAAGTAGGAAGAGTCCTTTACAGTTACCTGGCTGAGGCATCTTTAGTAACTCAGCCCTTTCCCCTAACAAAAGCCAAACACCGTGAAAAAGCAGGTTACTTAAAAACATTTCCAATACATTGCAACACTGAAGTGAGATACATTATAGTTGTAACAACTCTTACTGAGCCAAATTAAGACTTAAACCCACAAGAAAAAGGTATCATCTGCACTCACAGATCTTCCTGAAGAGCGGCTGTACAAGAAGACCTTCCTCAAAAAGCCACATAGCACATCCCCAACATAAACATCTGAAGAGTACAAACACAAAAACCTCTTTTCTGCCTCTTTTCTCCTTACCCAGCAGCCCCCTTGCTACCTCGCCACTCAGAGTGGCCACAGCTGTGCACACCTCCCTCACAGGTGCAGGCAATTGGGCTCAGGTCAGCCCTTGCTGACCCAGCTCTGCTAGGCTGCAAGGTGCCAGGGAGGGTAGCAGGGCAAAGGCTGCTGTATTTTGCATTTGAGGTCTGGTAAATAAACAGATACTGTGTTAATCAGTTACTTTTTCAGATGACAAATGTGTCTAAAAGAAATAAAGCTAATCTGTTGGCTTTTGGAGATCATTACAAAGAAAATGCCCATTGTTCATCAAGGAAATAACAAATGTCCTACTAAACAGTGTGAGATCTCATCTACCGTGCAAGAAGGTTGATGACAAGCTGGTGAGTCAGTAAGACTGTGAGCAGACTTGAGTGCTTTGACTCTGCTAATGAGAAGTGGAAAAGTTTTATAGGAAGACTGGAGGAAAAGGTCCATGCTAAGGGGAAAGATCAAAGTAACTTGTCACTGAAAGGCAATTTGCAAATGTAGGGATGTGGTTATTGCCAAAACAAGAGGTTTGGGGGCAATGCTGATAGAATGGGGACTGGTAGCAGCTGAAGGTGGAGAAAGCATGGATGTGGGGTACTGAGTATTCAGCTGCTCTTTGCTGTTTGGAAATTGATTACTTATATACATTTTCATGTCACTTTTCAGGGATACTTTCTCATATTCAGCGGTTGCCAGCTCTGAAGAAGAAAGACTCGTTTGAGGATATAACAAGTATCCACATGCATAAGAGTAAATCTACAGTACTTGGAAGAATCATCAGAGAGCTAGGGAAAAAGAGGAAATGACATATTTAGTCCAAGATCTTGACTTGTAGATTTTTTTTTTAACCACTTCTCTTTAATTTTTGCATTTTAATCCTCATTGATGTTAATTTACATGGTGGAAGAAGGCCTATAACAATGAGCACTGTATCTCTGATTAACTTGGACTTGTGGTTTTTTTCATTATCTATGAATTCAGTCTCCTTAATAAACTGCATGATTTATAAGCAGTTGCCTACTTTAATCTGTGCATACATCAGGCTTTTTATAATGCATGTGACCTATTCAAACTATTGTCTTTTGGGTGCCAAAACAGGAAACAACTAATCCTTCAATAAGAGATAGACAAGCAGAGCAGGAAGTTGCCAAAAACCTCCACTGGCTCCAAGACAGGATTAGAGTTGAGGTGGTGATGTTTATTGTATGTATAGTTGTACACTGGTGCAAAGCAACCACTGCTGAAAGACATCATCCTACTAAAGAAAAGTAGTATGTGTTTTTATATCAAAAATACTTCCCAAAATGTTTTCAGTTTTCCAGCAAAAGTAAAAAGTTCAACAGGTTTTACTAGCTCCTCTGTTTGCTTTCACAGTATTTTCCCTAAATCTTTAGTTATAAAAAAAGCCACTTAAAATGTTACACATTCTCACTTCAGTGTTCAATCAAAAGAATTCTCATACATAAACTGAATTTGCTTCTTTTTCAGTTTGCAAGTTCTTTGTAGACAAATCACTTTCCTCTGACTGTTATTGATAACACTAATAGGCAATTTGATATTAAACTAAGGCAACATAACTTTGGGCAGGTAACATTTCATGCTTTGATGAGATGAAATATTTCCATTGCCTGGCTGGCTGAATGCAACTACAAAATTCAGTTTTTCAGGGCAACTACATTTAGTTCTCATTCAAAGTTTTTCTCTTTGAATATGTGGCAATATCTGGTTGCCCTTTTTTTTTTTTTTTTTCCAAATGCCCAAAGAAAAACCTATTTGCTGGGTGTTCATCAACTTGCAGAAATAGGTTCAAGTAGCAAAATGTGTAAATGAAATCCTAGAACAGTTACTGGGCCTGAACAAAATAATACTTAAACAGAGTCCCATCAGGTAAAATCCTGATCTTATGGAAGCAGACAAAAAACTGTAAGAGGGCTATCAGCTTCAATGGCACTGAATTTGTGCTTAAAGTTTAAGCATTTAAATGTTCAAGAGAGGAGGGAACACTAAAGCAGGATGAGCACAGGAACACACAGTTTAGTGTACTCAGCAACACTCCCCCAGCTGCCTCTGCCTGCAGCCACAGTCTATGAGTGCCGTGCTACCTGTGTGGGAGGGTGATGAGCGTTGTTACAACAGATCTGCTTGCTCCTGTACTACTGTTAATTATCTAAATTATATTCATATATCTATAAGCCCCATTGTGCACAGTTTTGTTTTAACATAAGAGACACAGTCTTCCCCCATGGTGCCTACAGCTATTAAGACCAGCAACTGACAAAGAGCATGTTAAGGGCTGGATGCCTCAGCCAAGCAGGTATTGTAGTAGACCAGAAGTTACCTGTTCTCATATGCTCTCAAGCTCTAGAAAATGTAAACTCAGGCAGATTATCTGAATAGGTACTGTTTCTCTTGGATGCTCTTCCACAGGGCCCTTTGGGAAGAGGCTGGTGTTTCCACTTTAGATACATTCTGCCTGTAACAACAGGGTTGCCTAGAAAAGGGCTGCTGGCAGCTTTCTTCTCTCTTCAGATAGCAACAGAAATGGTGAAATACCACTATGGGCCAAGCTGATGTTTAACTTAAACAAATCTGCAATATTTCTTTGCTTCACCAAGCTTCTTAATTAACAGGCTGTGGCATCATTTGGTCTTTGAGGAAAAGGGCAGGAAAGGACTAGTATGTGGAAGAAAAACTGAGAAAACAGATGAATCTCTAGCATAGGTCACATTATGGAGAACATTAGGAAATTGCTGATATAAAAGAGATAATCTCTGTTACTAATTGTGCTGAAATAAAAAAGGGGATGCAATTAATTACATCTTCTTCTAAGAATGATCTAAATTCTTTCTAAGGCTTTCAGTCACCCATCACTATAAGAAATGAAGCTGGACTGTAGTATGAATGGATCAAAGAAGTATGCAATGTTTCTTTTGTGTGATATCTTCAAACCCCAGCCTGTTTCCCTGCTGATGCCTAATAGATGCTTTGTAATCACCTTCAGCAAGAACAATCTTCTACCTACAGCCAATCATCTATCTGTTTACAAACTTCTGTGCAGCTTGTATGTTTACTTATATGCATATATATGTATGTGTGTGTATAGGCTTGACAAGTATTTTTAATACTCTCGAAGTTTTAGATATGTTCCACAACGTACTAGTAAACAAGGAAAAAAATACTTTCCTCACATTTTAGATCCTGCAGGTAAAATTACATTCTTACTAACCATTCCACACTAAACATAATATTCTTATTAACTCTTCTATACTAATATAAGTTAATCAATAATGGAAAAGCTCTTCTAAAGCAATCAAATTCCTTTAAATGTTCAAAGCATCTTTTCCTTTAAATATGAATTCAGTAGTTCAGTAAAAAATTAATATGTAAATATCAAGTATTGAAAAGTCTGACAAGAACTTATTCCTTCTTCTAGTTGAAGAAACAATGATATGATAAAAATACATCACTGAAACAAGTTGACTCAAGCCAATTCTCATATTAAAAGAAAAACGTTCCTGAAACAGAAGCCATTACTGATTATACAGCAGTAAGAAGAGAGGACAGGGCAGGACAGTTGTGAAAGCCAGTGTAACATTAACGAAGACATGCTGATTTTTTTATCAGCTGGGCCAACATCTACTACACAGGAGTTGGAAACCACCAAAAGAAAAGGAACGTCTAACACTATTTATAGTTCCTGGTGAAGTCAGTAAATGCAAAAATCTGTTATGCTGGGTTATTACAATGCAGCATCTGAGACACTTTAAAGAGTCTGACATGGCATCAATTACCTTCAATAGTTCAGTAAAGCTGTAAGGTGAATGGTAGCTTCCATCATTTACAAGCTGATGAAGTTACTTGGTTGATGAGGTCAGAAAAGGATCTGCAAACATGTTCAGCTGTGGTGAAGAACTCCTGCTGCAAAGCAGACTGTTGAGCTGAAAAGCAGAACAGATTTTTCAGTCTTTCTGAGCATTTGGATGCTGCTAGAGACCTGAAAAACTCTTTATAAATCTCTAATTTAAGGTAACTCTCTGTAGGAACAGCAGCTTTTTCCATGTACTTCTTTTTGTGTACTTCTAGGATGGCAAAGGCAAGATTCTGAGTTTCCTCTGAGGGTTAAATGATTATGAACAATATTATAGAGTAAACTGGATGCAGGTGAGAAGATAGTGTCAAGATAAGTGGGAGAACTAACTTGTACCTGGTTGGGCCTGGAGAGATAATGCATCCTTCAGTTTCATCACTATATGCTGCAGTTCTACTTCCTCACTGACTTCCTTCTCATCAGGTAGTATCTGCACTGTAGTGGGAATAAGAACTGTGTTTCTCATGATGCTACTGAGGGAGTTTTCTTTCAATTCAGGCAGATATGTTTGAGTCTCTTTTGCTTTTTTATACTGTCCCATAACAGGTCTGTTGCTCTGCAGGGATGCTAACTCCAGTGGGTCTTCAGAGAATGTCAAGTCCACTGTAGTGGGAACCTCAGGTGTCTGTAAAAGCTGCATTCTATTTGCAGAGTTAGGAGGATTCAAAGATTTCCAGTCTGCACATGTTCTGGAAGTAGGCCTTATTTGGGCAGGATTTAATCCACCCTGCATTCTCCTTTCCATCAGGACATGTGGATTTCTTGGCATCGTATTCTGACACTGTGCAAAAGGATGCTTTGATGACAGCAGCATTGTCTACAATGGACAAAACACAGAAACTACATTGTGAAAATAATTAATATTTTAGTTTGCTGGTAGTGCTAGCATAGGAAAATTTAGGGTCAGAATTTTTTTTTTTTCATTTCTGGTTAACTAAACCAATTCTTTGCATAAATAAAATATGTTCCTGCAATAAAATAAAACTTTGTGTTTGAGTTTGGACAAATCTACCTGGCTATATTTTCTACAATTCCAATCTGAAGTCATGATATGCTTTAATGCTATTGAAAAGTGGGAATAATAATGTTCCAATAGTAAATTTTCAGGAAAATTGTTCTAAAATAATTAAACTAAGGGAAAAATATATGTGTATATTAAACACATATCAAACACCTCATACCTGTTAATATTTGAAATTCCAAAACTAAGTTGGTTGTCAGTGCCACAGTTGTGCTTGCAATTTTCTAGACAGGACTATGATGGCAAATACCATCCACTGCATGAAT